GGCGGGGTGTAAACACGAACATGGGTGTATGTAAAGAAACACTACGGACTTTGCAAAGCCTAAGAACCAATAAATAAACAAAACATGATAGGTTAACAAGGCAAAGTAAATTCATGGGAATGAAATCCCTACGTTACAGCACCTTCACGAGAGAAAAAAAGGATGGCTGGAAATCAGAAAAAGAAAAAATGCATCAACCAAATTCAAACGCAGAAACTTTGAATCAGAGGAGAAAGCAAAAAGTTTACGGCTTTGTCTCCAACCTCTTGATGCACAACGACCCTTCTCCTCCTGCGTGATTCAGGTTCATTTCATTTGGATTTGTTTCACCTTTCTCTTCTTATCTCTCTTTCTGACTCATGGGTTTTTGGGCGATGATTTTGTTTGAAGTTAGCACTGAGGAACAAAATTTAATGAAGATGGTTATGGGAAGATGGAAAACATAGGGGATTAAAGAATATTGTGTGTTTTCAAATGGTGCAGGGATTTTGTCTGGGAGTGTATGGAGTACAGTGTAGCAGGATTTGTCTGGTTGTGTAGAGTAGTTTTCATGATAGGTTTTCTGCGGTTATGCAGATTTGGTATGCTTTTGGAGGGTTTTGGTTGTTTCATAGTATTGGCAAAATGGCTTTTGAAAAGCAAAAATGTTTGTTTTGGCAGCACAATTTAGATTCAGAAGTGGGGCAACCGTGTGAGCATAAAAAAATTGGACTTGTAATAATGAAATAATAATAACAATAGTAATAATAACACTAATAAAAATAACAATATAAAAAGAATAAAATAATAATAATAATAATACGAAGTAAATAATAACAACGAAATAAATGATAAAAAAAGAAGTGATAATAAATAAGCAATAAATAACAAAAATAAATGATAACTAATAATAAACAAAATTAATAAGTAATATAAATGACTATTATCAAATAATATAAGTAAATAATAATAAAATATATAACTAATAATGAATAAATAATGATAGATAAAATAATAATAATAATAATAATAATAATAATAATAATAATAATAATAATAATAATAATAATAATAATAATAATAATAATTAAGAAGTAAATTTAAAATGAAATTTTAAAAGTAATAAATAAAAAAAATTATACTAAAATATAAACTAAATTAAAATGACTATTAAAATAGAAATAACTAAAAACTATATTAAAATATAAATTAAGTTAAAAATAACTGCTAAAAACTATATTAAAATAAAAATTAGATTGAAAAATAAATTAAATTAAAATATAAATAAAAATTAAGAAATAACCAAAAAAGAGAAGCTATATTAACAATACAAACTAAATTAAAGACTAAATCAATTCTAAATAATACTTAAGATAAAAAAAAACAGATTATAAAATGAAAAAAAAATCGACTAAAAAGCACGATAAAATGATGAAATAAAATACTTAACTAGAAGAATGCAGAATGACGAACTTAAACTAATATGAAATGATCAAAGGATCCGAGGATAAAATTTGGGGTATGACAGTCTTGATTTACATTTATATTAACCCTAGCTCATGAATTTAACCTAAAACTAGAGAGGCCCTAGCTCAAAGTGAAATTAAATAGCATATATCAACAACCAATGATCAATAGCTGATGGCTTTCATTCTTCATGTTAATGCACACACAACCATAACAATAAAGTTAAAAAAATGATGATTCTAAGTATGAGAACTGAAGGGTGGAAATGTTACCTAATGTAGTGAGTCTGTTGCCCCCTTTAAGTGCTCTTGCAGAAGTGAAATGAATATGCCTCTAGCTTCCTTGAGTCCCCAGGAGTGCAATGGTGTGCTTGGAGTTGATTGAAACCTTTTGAATTGCTCTATCCAAATCGAGTTGCAAATGTGAAAAGTGAGGTTTGTGATATGGAGTTTTATAGGTTACAAGTGTGTTCTTGTGCGTACAATTGGTTTTAGGTAATGTATGAAAGGTGTTTGTAAAGGAACTTTGGAAGGAAAGTGAAGGAATTGTTAAATTCGAAAATTGGCTTTAATGGAGTTTTGAGGTTTTGCTTCAATGTGATCTCTCTGCTATTTTCTTCCTTATTGATGTTATGAGGTTCAACTGCATTTGTAGAGGTTTAAATTTAGGTTAGGAACTTAGCTTGATCAGAACTAGGCTTGGAGTTTGCATCATTGGACAAGTTTAAACAAAAATGGCAAAGAAGTACTACATATGCTAAGGCTTGGCTAGGCTTGGATTTAGGTTAGGCAAGTTTGCTTTTGGCATCAGAAATCAGTAGGATCAGAGCTACAACTTGTGTAGCAAGTTTTGACTCAAAATCACTTTTTCACAAAAGGCCAAAAATGTTGATCAGAGTGGACAGTTTGGACAGGTTTTGTCCTTATTGTAGAGGTCAGTTTTGCACAAAAGTGGTATCAAAGTAAAACTGACATGTAAGTGAACAAGTTTTTTTTGTTGATGATGAGTTGAGGAAAGGCTTGGAAAGTGTTCAAAATTGGCTTCAAACTCGTGTGAAACAAACTGATTTCCATACAGTGAAATTCTAGTTCAATGTGTTATTGATCATCAACATGAAACCTCAACTTTGGCCTCCCATTTCTCTCAATTGGCAAGAGCTTTTTGGATCAAATTTTCCACCATGATGAAGTAGGAAGTATGCTCTTTAACTTTTGATCTTTTCTTGATTTTCTTGATTTAACTTGATAAAACTCAATCATTTTTCACACCTTCATGTTTCTTGACTTGAGAAATCCATGGTTGACCAAAAATGTCAAAAGTCAAACTTTGATTTTGAGCATCTGTTGACTTTTTATCAATTGAATCAAAATTCTTCAACTATCAATAGATCAAACTTCTTGAGCCAGTTTAATTACATGAATGGACCACAAAGATGTATTTGATGCCTTTGAATCATGTTCCAAGCCATGAGATTATATTTTGGTCAAAAAGTCAACATCAAGCTGACTTTGACCAAAACTCTAATTTGGAGCACATGATGGATTGAAACTTGATGAACTTGAACTATTGCAAACTCAAACTTGATTATTGATGAAGGGAATCTCTTGATCACCATGAATGAGTAGAGGAACTTGGGATGTTGAGGATCACACTAGACTCTAACTGATCAACCATTTGAACTTCTTGATGTAAAACCCTAACTTATAAACAAAGCAAACAAGACATATTTTATTTGTATTTTCAATGGGGTTAGCAAAATGCAAAAACACACACAAAAGTGATTGATGATATGCAAATGATGCAAATGAAGTTAGAATCTTAGGGGTAAAAATTAGAGTATGATAGGTGGCTTTCAAAATCACGACAGTTTGTTCAAGTTTATTTGAAATCGGGATGCATTATACCACTTACATCAGTGGAGTGAACGACTCACTCAACAACAAAAACTGAGACTTGGCCATACTAATTTGTGGAAAGGATGTAAGAGTTCGACAAATTGAGCATCATTGAAAGAGAATCAAATGCAAAAAAGTCAAAGGGGGTACCACCCATACTTATAGTTTTAGTCGGTGACAAATATTTCGATTCATATTACTTTTTCATCATCAATTAAGTGTATGTAATTGTGTATTACTAGTAATGAAGTGTAATATATACACTTTCAAATATTTTAATACATTTTGATGTTTGTAAAAAATTTGTTCATTTGTCAAATAAAACACATAGGTTCTGTTTTCTACATGGTTCAGGAGAAGTTCCGAAGATGTATCACGGGAATAGGATAATAGGTTGATATCGAAAATGTATCTCTGAAATCAACACTGATACATGATAGAATTTCTTAGGTCCACATTTGTCCACAATTTCTATAAATTTAGCTCTTATTTTTTATTTCATACAAACAAAAAATATCACAAATAAACATCATCTGGTATGTTGTAAATGTCTCCTTCTCTAGCGCGAGACCCAGGCAAAAGTTTAAACTCAATGAGTACACCTTTTTTGTAGATCTGTAATATATAATGCATAATCTCCTACTTTACGGAGATAATAAAAAAATTGTGAAGCTCGGGTACAATTCGTCGTCAATTAACAACGAAGACAAGATTGAATTCAACAACTATGAACTTAAGACGGATGGAAATGTAAAGGCTATGTGGAAACATTTTTCTGTTTCAAAACAAAAGTTCTACTCGATTTGGAAGCGACAATTTCAAGATCGGTCGAAGATATTGTGAAGATGTTGAAGCATCCACCTAGATATTGAAATGTAATGTTTGGTTTTATGTTGACATCATCTATGTAATGCTAATTTTATGTTATGAATAATTTTATTTTGTCAAATTACGACTTTCTGATTTTCTGCTTTCTGTTTCTATTTCACAATATTACACAAATCCCGGACAGATTCCAGAGATGCATTTCCATGTAAATAAAAACACTCTTAGAACGTCGCTCAGAATTGATATAGGTTGTGTGTGTTTGACAACGTATGTTCAAAGATGCATATTCAAAATCTAAGACATTTTAATATTTTTAGATAGTGTTCTAGTAATATACGATAGATTAAAAAATTCTAAAAAATAAAGAAATTATAGAGAAACAAGTGTCAAGCAATTATTGGTAATCAAGCACTGCAATCCAATTTGTGTTCGAGACGCGCTGAAAACATTTCAACTCCCAAACGCAAAAATCATCATACGAAACGCATCGTTTCACCTTTCAAACCAAATCTCTGTGTTGAATCATCATTTTCCCTAACAAAAAAAAATCGAAACAATCTCATCGTTAATCCCAATCCATTTATCCAAAGTTTCTAAATCAAATATCATCGTAAAATCATTCTCCGTAGAAAATTAAATAATTACTAAACTGAAACTGTTAAATCAAATCCCTGCTACAACCTCATCGATCTTGCGTTTTTCATTACCCCTTTTTCTTTTTGATTCCGGGTTTGAAAAAAAAGTTGTTATTTTTGCTTTTGGGTTGGAAGAAAGTTGTGATTTTTGCTCTTGGGTTGTGGGAATTGGGATTTTGATTGAAAAGGGGGCGAAATGAGTAACCAGAAGAAGAGGAATTTTCAGATAGAGGCGTTTAAGCATAGGGTGGTTATGGATCCGAAATATGCAGACAAAACATGGAAGATTCTCGAAGATGCGATTCATGAGATTTACAATCATAACGCTAGTGGTCTCAGTTTTGAAGAACTTTACAGGTTAATCCGTTTTTCTCTTTTCTTTTTCATGTTTATGATTCTTTTGACGGAAAATTTTGGGGATTCATTGTTTTATTTATTATATTATATTTTTCAGAGTTCATTTGAGGTTTTCGGGGTCTTTAAATTTGAATAAGAGAATGATTTTCTGGGTTTCGTGTTGAATTTTGTTAGATTAGAGTACTATCTATGGCTTGTGCATATGAGCATTTGGAATGTTTGTTGAGTTTGTTGTTTTATTGAGTTTCTTTATATAGAATCGGTATGATACCATAGCGGTTGGGAAGACGCTACCCATGGAGACCGGAGTGGTATTTTAGGAGGAGGTTCTTTTGTTTCCCATCAGAGGTCACTTGGAGGCGTATCAAATGGCAAGTAAGGTGAAACTGCCCTTGTTTGATGGAACTGGCCCAGTAGGATGAATAACAAGAGCAGAAACTTACTTTAATTTGGAATTTCTCTTGTTTGATAGAACTGGCCTGTGATGTACAGATATGTTGGGGATGTGAGAAACTCACTACTCGATAGGTTCACGTTCTCAGAGAAGAGGGGCTACAGAAGTTTTCAATGGTGTGTGGCATTTAGAGATTCAGGACATGAGTTTCATACAGGTAGGCTCAATATTGGGCCACAAGTAAGTTTGGCAAATCTGCCATGGAGGCAATATGGAGGATATACATGGCTATTGGTCGATATTGCGGGTTTTTCCGCCATAATCTGCTATAATGGCGCACCAAAGTGGGTATGGCGGGATTTTTGTTCTCTGCCATGGACGACACTGGTTTCACATATCTACAGGAGCCACACCTTTTGAAGTCAGGTGCATCAGAAAACCACCTCTGTTTAATTTGGTTTGCTCAAGGAGAGACCAAGGTTGAGGCAGTGGCTTGAGAATTGCAAGAATTACTTGAAGCCAAGACAACTAAAATATAACCTAGTAAAGGCTTAAGTACATCTGAGGAGGTATGCCGAAAAGATCATGAAAATGCTGGAGTTTGAGGCTGGAGTATGGGTTTTCTAAAGTTAAGGCCACACAAGCAACTATCAATAATCTGGATGATTAATCAAAAGTTGACTCCTAGTTACTGTGGTCCATTCCAAGTGGTGGAAAAATATGGAAGCATTGCTTGTGACCTCAACTTCTGCAACTTTTCAATACATAATATTGCATTTCAGCCACTAGGATACTTGACAAAAAAAATAAATATTGGCTAGGATGCGGCTACCATGCTTAGCATTCTGATCTTATACATTCATGTTCAACTTCCTTTGTGTTTTGCACACAACTTTTCTTTCTTGGCCTTTCAATCTTCTTATGTCCATTACTATTCTTGTTATCTTTCTATCTTCATATGCATGCAATGCATTGAAGAAAAAGGGTTTCACCTTTTTTCTATTTTACACATTATTTATTATTAGTTTTAGCAATTTTTGTTACTGTCCTTTATTTTCCTGATAACCTGTGTCAATATCTTTTTATTTTATCCTTACTAATAGATTTGAAAACTTTAATCGGATTTCGATATGTTGAATTTTTCTGCCAAGTTTTCTTCATTACCTCTCCTTGATTTGTCATATATTTCTCAAACTTATGATTTGTGTTTTGCCATTTGGGATAAATTTTGTATGCGAAGTTTCATTTTGGACATTTACACGTGTAGGATCTTAATTGTGCTTAACATTATTTTATTTCTACGAGAAAAGATATATCTTATGTGTCTAACTACCCCCCTTCTGTCTATGTGTGGATTCAGAAATGCATACAATATGGTGCTTCACAAGTTTGGTGAGAGGCTATACTCAGGATTGGTTGCAACCATGACCGCCCATCTGAAAGATATAGCTCAATCTATTGAAGCTGCTCAAGGAGGTTCTTTTCTAGAAGAACTGAACAGGAAATGGAATGACCATAATAAGGCATTACAAATGATTAGAGATATACTGATGTACATGGACAGGACTTACATTCCAAGCGCCCGCAAGACTCCTGTTCATGAACTCGGCCTGAATCTGTGGAGAGAAAATGTTATTTATTCCAGTCAGATCAGGACTCGGTTACTGAACACACTTCTGGAATTAGTACATGGTGAACGCACTGGTGAGGTTATTGATAGAGGAATAATGAGAAATATAACAAAAATGCTAATGGATTTAGGTCCTTCTGTTTATGGACAAGAATTTGAGACTCATTTTCTTAAAGTTTCAGCTGAGTTTTACCAGGTAGAATCCCAGAGATTCATTGAGTGTTGTGATTGTGGTGACTATCTTAAGAAAGCTGAGAGGCGTCTGAACGAGGAAATGGATAGAGTTAGCCATTACTTGGATCCCGAGACTGAAAAGAAGATTAATAATGTAGTGGAGAAGGAGATGATTGAAAATCACATGCTTAGGTTAATCCACATGGAGAATTCTGGCTTAGTTAACATGCTTTGTGATGATAAATTTGAAGATTTGGGTAGGATGTATAACTTGTTCCGCCGTGTTACCGATGGTCTTTCAAAAATACGAGAAGTGATGACTTCACACATAAGGGAGTCTGGTAAACAGCTTGTTACTGATCCGGAAAGGTTGAAGGATCCGGTCGAGTTTGTGCAGAGGCTCTTGGATGAGAAAGACAAGTACGACAAGATTATAAACGTGCCATTCAACAACGACAAGTCCTTCCAGAATGCTTTGAATTCCTCGTTTGAATATTTCATTAACTTGAACCCTCGTTCTCCGGAGTTCATTTCACTATTTGTAGATGATAAACTTCGTAAGGGTCTGAAAGGGGTCAACGAGGATGATGTAGAGGTTACACTCGACAAGGTGATGATGCTATTCCGATACTTGCAAGAAAAAGATGTTTTTGAAAAGTATTACAAACAGCATCTGGCGAAGAGGCTTTTGTCTGGAAAAACGGTTTCTGATGATGCCGAGAGAAGTCTCATTGTTAAGCTCAAAACTGAATGTGGTTATCAATTTACTTCTAAATTAGAGGGGATGTTTACTGACATGAAAACCTCTCAGGACACAATGCAGGGCTTTTATGCTAGCCACCCTGACTTAGGCGACGGTCCTACACTTACTGTCCAGGTTCTTACTACAGGGTCTTGGCCAACTCAGTCTAGTGTTACATGCAACCTGCCAGCTGAAATATCTGCACTTTGCGAGAAGTTCCGGTCATATTACCTAGGCACACATACCGGCAGGAGATTGTCGTGGCAAACTAACATGGGCTTTGCAGATTTAAAAGCAACCTTTGGGAAGGGTCAGAAGCATGAGTTAAATGTCTCTACCTACCAAATGTGTGTCCTCATGCTTTTTAACAATGCTGATAAACTCAGCTACAAGGAGATTGAGCAAGCAACCGAGATTCCTGCTTCCGATCTTAAGAGATGCCTGCAATCGTTGGCTTTAGTTAAGGGAAGAAATGTACTTAGAAAGGAGCCGATGAGTAAAGATGTTGTTGAGGATGATGCTTTCTTTGTTAATGACAAGTTCAGTAGTAAGCTATACAAGGTTAAAATAGGAACCGTAGTTGCACAAAAGGAATCCGAACCAGAGAAACAGGAAACTCGGCAGCGAGTGGAGGAGGACAGGAAGCCTCAGATTGAAGCTGCGATAGTAAGGATCATGAAATCTAGGAAGCAACTTGATCATAACAACCTTATAGCTGAAGTCACTAAGCAGTTGCTGTCGCGTTTCCTGGCGAATCCAACGGAGGTCAAGAAACGGATTGAGTCTCTCATCGAACGAGACTTTTTGGAGAGGGATGATAACGACAGAAAGATGTATCGGTATCTTGCTTAGAATTGGTAAAAACTTGTTTGTTTTAGTAATCACAGTGATGCAGGTGTTGTATCATAATGAACCAAGTGAAAATTTGCCTTTTAAGTAGCTCCATTGATTTCAATGTATATTGATTTGTTTCTTATTTGTTGTTGTGATATTTCATCTAATGTTTTAAATCACAAAACAAAATTACCGTTTTCAAGTCCAGTTATTTGAAATCTTTTTCTCCAAAATATTGTTGGAGAAATCATGCTTATTTCACATCCACCAAATTCATGCCTACGTGAGTTATACATTTATTTTATCAAAAAAAAAATCCAAAAATATACTTATAAGAGATTAATTACTATGCAGACAGTGTAAAAGTATATTCCATGTGTTCAGTTTCTCTTCCATTAATATAAGAGATTAATTACTATGCAGAGAGTGTAAAAGTATATTCCATTAAGATGTGTGTTCAGTTTCTCTTCCATTAAATTCTAAATATAATTGTCCAAAATACTTTCAAAATACTTTTCATTCTAAAATGCGAGAATAGGTCCGACCAATTAATAGGGGTCTACGGTCTATTCTACGCAACATATTTAAGTTAGACCAGATTCTTTTTAAATAGAAAATGTTTAAACTTTTATATAAGTCTAATTAACTAAACAGGTTAGGCCACATACTTAAGTTAGACCAGATTTTTTTTAAGTCTATTATATCAACCTATTTATAAAAAATTCAATAAATTTATTATTATTATTATATTATATTTTATACTTTGAATCAAAATAATTAATTATTTTGAATAACTTATAAAAATAAGTTAAAAAAATATTATAAACTAAACAAGGTTATAAGTTTTTTTTCCATAAGTTCTCTTTAACAAATAGTATCACCAAACTTATGCTAATAGGTAAACTTGAATGAGACAATGAAAACAAATATTTAGTCTCAATCATCTTTTAATTTGTTAGTCTATTTAACATTAGTTAAATTTTTTATTTATAGACGTTCAAATGAAATAGATTTTTAAATAGGCTAGTAGGCTAATCAGGTCTTTGAAAAAATCAGACTTAAGCCTAAAATTAAGCTTATCATATGCTACAGGCCAAATTTAGACTTTAAACTTTTTAGCAGGGCAAACTCAAACTTGACAAAACTTAATTCGGTCCAGCGTATTGGTATTTTCACCCCTAATTGTATCTAAAATAAAATTATTGTATTAGATATTTATTTAAAAATTATGTAGTAATATTTATCATAACTTTTTTTACTCAGTAATTGTTCAATTAAAAATATTGTATTTTTTAAATTAATTTATTATATAATTTAATAAATAAATTTAATCAAAAAATATATAAATATATTATGAAAAAAATAAGAGTTTTGTGAAAGAAACTACTCTACCATAAATTTTAACATAATTATATTTAATCATAAATTTAGATAAGCATCTAAAATGAAAAAAATCTATAGATTGTCAGACATAATAAAAAATATTTTTAATAATTATATATTTAAAATTAATTTTGATCCAAACATAAATTGATGAGTTATTTCTGTATTTTCTTATATTCAAACATAAATTAATTTTGAAAAATGAGGGATATTTTCATACACACAGGAGTCACTTATGTCTAAATTAATTTTGCACTAGTAGGAGTTTCAAATTTTTCATGTACACATAAAACTACAAATATATTTGGAAATATATTTATGTTTTTTTTTTACAAAATGAAGATATAATTCACTTATTAATAAAAAAATATTTTTAATTTAAAAAATATTTTTTGAATTTTCATATAATGATTCTCCAGCTCTTAGAATAAAAACATCAATCCCCATCTAAGATTACCATCGATTTTCTTCTTGAGACTTATTTCCCCAAGTTGGTTAATTAAGTAAATATAAGTATTATCATCAACAACAATGCACACTCTATTCTTTTCTTTTTTTCCATATTTTTAGATGGTTTAACATTTTATTTTAATTATAACAGCATGTTTTAAAATTTTATAAAATAATTTCTTGAGGATGACTCATATTAACGTAGAGAGGAATAGAATGTGGAAATTTTGAACGGGCACCCATTTATTGTGGTAGGTGATTGGAGGGTGCGGGGCAATAATTCTTGGGAAGTTTTACCTCATACCCTTATCCTTATACCCACCCCTACACTCAAAAAATTTGGACCAAAATACCCTTAGTTAAATATCTATAATCTTACATTTTTTCATTTTTCACTTCCATTTCTCACTTTCCATTTTAAGACTTCCGGAACTCTCAAATTTTGTTACAAACCGGAACTCTCACACAAACACTTCCGGAACACATTTCAGTTACAATACATACCGGAACACTAAGAGTAAGTCTTCCGGTTTGTATTTTGTTTTTACTTCTTCACTGATTCTCTTTCATGAAGACTTCCGGTTCACAAACTTTTGAGGTTGTTCACCGGAACTCTTTTTTGAAGACTTCCAGTTCAGAAAAGATTTTAGTTTAGTCACCGGAAGTCTTTCCTAAAGACATCTGATTCACTCAATGTTTCGTTTCATCTCCGGAAGTCTTTCTTGAAGACTTCCGGTTCATTGCTTTTTTTTTTTAATTTTTGTTTTCTAATTATATTTATTTATTTATTTTAATTTTTAATTATATTTTTTTTTCCAGTGGTGCGCACAAGAGGCAGAGATGGTAGGATCCCTCGTGGACTAGGACGGGGCGAGTCATCGAGGATGGCTGAAGAAGAGCATTTTGATGCATCTGCATCAGCATCAGCATCCGAGCCGGTTGGATATCCTGGGGGACCGTATGATACGTCTCTGTTAGTTAAATACGAACAGCATGTTGCATACTGTATATGGTTCGGTGAGGTAAGTAAACGAAAATTATTTAATATTTAATAGAATTCGAATTTTTAATATTGAATTTTATAATATTTTTACTTTTAATTTTTTTCAGGAGAGAGGGTCGAAGAAAGAGTTAAAGGTGGCGGGACATGGGATAAAGTTGACTTAGAGGGTTCCACTACAGTTACCCAGAGAGATGGAGAGCTGGATATCTAGGTCTGGTCTAGCTTCACTTCAGAGAACCAGTTTAACAAAGATAGACACAAACCTAGTTTCCGCTTTTGCAGAGAGGTGGCATCTAGAGACATCTTCATTTCACATGCCGTTTGGTGAGATGACGATTACTCTAGATGACGTATCTTGCCTACTTCACTTGCCCATTAGGGGAGTCTTCTAGAACCCTCAAGATATCAGTGAAGCGCTTGTTGTTGAGTGGGCTGTTGATTATTTGGGAGTGTCACAGAGAATAGCACAGCAACAAGTCCGTGAGTGCAGGGGTTCCTACTATAAGCTGGAGTGGTTATATGATCGGTTCGTAGAGCACATAGCTGCATCTCGATGGGATTATGCCACTAGAGCTTATTTGCTGATGTTAGTGGGTTCCACTATTTTTGCGGACAAGACGCTTACGCTTGTCGAGGCACGATACCTCTCACTGTTTATAGACTTGGATGGCTTATCAGGATACAGTTGGGCAGCAGCTGCGTTGGTTACTCTTTACCGATATCTCGGAGATGCTTCCATGTTCAGCTGTAAGCAGCTTGGTGGTTATACGAATCTCCTACAGGTATTTATTTTAATTTAGTATATTTTGTTTTAATTAATTTTATCTAGTATATTAATTTTATTTATCTAGTTTATTATGTTATAATTAATTATTTTAAATTTTGTAACAATGCTGGATTCATGAGTATTTTCCTACACTTGAAAAAAGAGGAGAGAACTGGATACCGGCTAATAATGTGGGTCTCCCACGAGCGATGAGATGGTCCTATAGGCAAGGTGCCTTGAAGGTGGATGACTTGCGGCCTATTCTAGACAAGCTGACACCTGCAGATATCATATGGCGCCCATTCGAGAATCATAGAGTATGGCGTCAGTTTGATGAGTTATGTCTCTATAGGGGGTGTCTGAGGTGGGGTGACACTATTGTTCATACATGCCTGACAGATGTTTGCATCAATTTGGATACAGGCAGTATGTTCCACATCCACCTCTTGATTCTCGAATGGCGGGTGATATTGATGTTGACTGGATTAGTTACCATCAGAGCGTTCAGAATTTCATCCGTCCGACAACACCGGCCACCACCCCATATGAGACAGATGATGGGTATCTTGAGTGGTATTATCGTGTTTCGCATCCTCGTCTGGTACCGCTCAGTGTTGATGCGACAACAGAGATGCCAGTTCCTGTATATGAAGCAGGACCATCTGGTCCTATAGTGGCTCGTATGTCTTCATTGATACATCGTTATCTTCAGTAGACTGGTGCTGAAGAGGATGACCCACAGTTTGCTGATTTGTTCGAAGCTTTACATCTTGGTCTATCACAGTGACTTTTATTTATATTTATGATTATATGTTAACCTTTAGACAAATTTGACCTAATTGGTTTATGTTCATGTGTTAACTTTTAGACTAATTTGACCTATTTAGTTTATGTTTATGTGTTAATATAATTCATGATTCATGTTTTGCAATTAAAAACGAGTAACATAATTCACGATTCATGTTTTGTAATTAAAAATGAGTAACATAATTCACGATTCATGTTTTGCAATTAAAAACGAGTAACATAATTCACGATTCTTGTTTTAAAATTAAAAATGAGTAACATAATTTATAATTCAAAATGCGTTGGTAATATAGGCGTAAGTTGTTGCCAATGTTGTAGACGTCCTGCAAATCCTATCATCCAAGATGTTGCTGCTGGAGAACGAAACTTCTTCCAATCTACTGTCACTGGTGGCAATGGAAACCCTTCTTTCATGTTTACCTAAATAAAAAAATATCTTGCAATATTAAGTAAAAATAACGAAAAAGAATTAGGTTTAATTGCATTATCTAAAAACAACTAAGTACCTGAACCCAATGATTTATGTTTACAAAACCAATGCAGTAAATTGCTACATTCGGTGAAAATGAAGATGTCATAGGGAAGAAAGTCCAACATTCAATTCCTAAA